TACTCTACCCTAAGTGACTCATCTCCCCACTACCCCTCTGGAAGGTATGTACAATTGTCTAGAGATGGGCATTGGGTCTCCATCGCGCGCCACCCTCATTGACAAGGATATGATTCCCACTCCCGACCTTTGGTGTTTAAAGCCTGGTCCCTTTGGCCCTTCATGATCACACATGTTGGTGTGCTGCTTCCATGTGGGCTTTGTTACTTCTGGGCTAGATGGCCGCTTGTTTACTTTCAAGCCTTTAAGTCCCCAGAAGCTATAGGTCTCGATAGCCGGCACCATCAGCCTTCTTCACCACACTTACTTATGCACACATTTGCTTTTAAATATTTTAAGATAGAATATAATGTCAAAATAAATTTTTAGGGGACGAATTGTCATTTTTTTAAAGGAATGACATATCCCTAAAATGTTGTAATTGAAATGTCTTAAGAGAGTCATTGTTTAAAAGCTTCAAATGAGCATATCTCTTTCTCCCTCTGTCACACACTCATACCCACAAACCAAGACCATACCTGTGGAATCGAGTCAATTCTGACTCATAGCAACCCTGTAGGACAGAGTTCAGCTGCCATAGAATTTCAAGTGTGTAATCCCATAGAAGGAGATGGCTACATCTTTCTCTCAAGGACCTAGCAGCGAATTTGAAGTTCTGGCCTTCCTGTTAGCAGCTGAGCACTTAACAACTCTGCCACCACATACGTACCACCTTTTAAAGCGGTCAACTCATCTGTAAAGCAAAGCCGTCTCAAAGTGTGTATATGATGTATGTATTTAATGTATTGAGTTTTCTTAATGTGCCATTCAACTGTAGATTTTTCTAAGACAAATTAATTTTTAAGACAAATTATGTTTATTAGCATTCTGTTCAGAACAAAAACAAGAGAGAAATGTGTCTTGGCGACATTTCGATAACTCCAGGTAAACGTAACGGGTGTGAGTTGGAACATTTATTATGAGATCACCAGTTAAAACCCTCTACCTCTCTTAAGGGCAGAAATAAATCTAGCTGCTCTGAGAAACCAAACAAGTTTTCATGCCCCATATTTCTCTTTTCATATATCTACGCATTATAGTAGTAACCAAGTATCTTAATATAATTGCATACAGAACACTGAGTCGTAAGACGTGGACAGTAATTATTTTCCCTACATGATACATCCTTGTTATTAGCAGTCCACCCTGTAACCCACTGCTCCAACAGTGCCCTTTCAGAGCAGATGGGGTAAGGTTGACCAACCACAGAAAAGCCCTTGCTCATTTCAACGACAGAGCAGGCACATTGTCACGATGGGAAAACATTCCCAGGCACAACTTTCCTGCCTTTTATCTAGACAATGCAAAGTTTTGTGTTCCTAAAACCTTGTCATAAGCTTCCAGGTTCATTATGTGCTCTTTGAGAAGATGTATCAACAGTACTCTTTGGAGATCTCACAAAAACAAAACAAATAAACAAAACAGTTGCTGTAATCTTCTGAACTGACTGCTTTGCTTTGAATGTAACTGCCCCGCAGATCCCTTCAGAACCCACTGTTTGGATTGCACCTAATTCTCTGGCTCATCTTGGTAAATCCAAGGCTCATTTCTGGTTATGATTTGGTCCATAAAATCATCTTTTCAAACTTAGACCATTCTTAAAAGACTTATGAAAAGATCAGCTCTTAGAACTAGCTGATCTTAGCATACTCTTAAGGCACCCACCCAGCCTCATGCTTACTGAAACCAAAGTGTTCACTTGAGATGGAAAACACTGAATCATATGAGATCTCAACTTCAATAGCTATCACATCAATGATAATCTACAGTCTTCTTCCACAAATTTCTGGACTTTACCCACAATTTCTGCATTCATTGAGCTTGGTGCTCTTCCTTCGCGTGGCTCATCTTTGAGGTTTTCCCAACTTTCCAGAACACTGTAGATTCAGCTAAAAATTATTTTATGTAGCAGATCTTTCTTGTAAACTAGTTTCTAAGCTTTAATGATTTGCATATATGTTCACTTGAGTTGTGTTAAAATTTTGATAGTATCCCTAATCCCAAATAATAGTTTTCCATGTAAAAATTGTATCCATTTTTGAAAGCACGCTAGGAAGACTGAAACAGGCACGTTGCAGAGAGAACTTATCTGTAATCATCCACTGAATACAGAGGAATGTTTAAACAGTTTTTGTTTGCACTACTTTGTCAATTGCTTTTGTTTATGACTAGCTATGACATCAATTTTGAAAGTAAGAACTATACAAGTTGGTATACATTGAATGTCACTTGAAAAAAAGTGTAGCCAAGGAAGGTCCCAAGGTCTTCAGATTTATGGGCTAAGCTACTGAGCGTATTTGAGTTCATTGTGATTATTGAGTCCATACATGCTATTAAGGACATTCCTAATTTTGTTGGCTCACTTTATTAAGCATAATGTTCTTTCCTAACTGTAGAACTTGCCTGATGATGTGTCCAAAGTAAATGGGCTAAAGTCAATACAGTTGGAAGTGAAGTTTTGGAACAAAAAATTAAGAGCTGTATGTGGGACTAACACATTTTGATAATGATTGTACACTTAGATATGTCTCGAGGACAGTAGACATTGGGTCTAGTGTTTAATAGGGAGAGCTCAGTTGAAGACAGGTTTTTTTGAGTAATCAAATTATTGATTGTATTTAAAGCCATGGTACTGTATAAAATAACAGGAAATAAGTGCAAAAAGCCATGTTCTAAGGAAATAATTCTGATGTATGTCAACATTTATGAGTCAGACTTTTACGAGGTCTAGTAAAAGAGAGTGAAGAGGAGTGTGATTGAAACAAAACTTGGATGGGTGGTATTTTCAGAGTTGAGTGGAGAAAGTAATAGAATGTGGATGGATAGATTCAGGTAAGGGCTAAGAACTGATTCTAGGAATAATCAATTTAGATGTCATCTGTAATCTTGACTAAACTAGATTTGGCCAAAAAGATGGAATGAAAATCTGATTAAGAATAAGTGTATCAAAAAAAAAAAAAAAAAAAAAAAAAA